ATATATATATATATATATATATATATATATATATATATATATATATATATATATATATATATATATATATCAGTGTGTGTAACAATTTTATCAAAATCGTATGTTTCATTCCTTGATTGAAATAAATGGTTACATTAAGACCATGATGGTTTTGTTTTATTCATGTCAAACTCAGATATCTTCTTAAGGTGACAAGATGTGATAGCAGGGACTGAATCGGCACGTCTGTTTGGATTTTCAAGGTCCCAAAGGATCTTTATCGCCAAAGCATTTATTTTTTGTGTTTCATGTTTTGTCTTATGTCTAAACTCTCATTTCCCAGTGGATAGCCATTCCTATACAGACAGATTTTTATTTCTTTATTGTCTTTGATCTTATATCCTCAGTCTGCACTCACGGGACGAAGGTTTCGTCTTGTGTTCTTTCCTTACTCTTTTTTCGATAAATACATTGTGTCCGCTTCTTTTCAAGAGAGATTTTTCACGTTTTTTTTTTTTTTTTTTTTTTTTAGCTGTTTATATCCATCATTCAATTCTGGCCCGTTTTATTACACTTCATAAGCAATCATGATTATACTTTTAACCTACTTAAGGTTTAGGTGATTTGCATTGCATAAATTTTACTGATGGGAACTAAACCTCCTTTTGAAACTAATACCAAAATTATAGTGCAAAATCTTACGTCCGGTGATTAACTTATCAGTATTTTGGTATACAAGTTTAATTTCTTTTGTTTTGTTCAGGAAGGTCACAAATTATCATCATGTTTTTTGTTTTCTGCAGAAGAGTTGAAACTTTCTTCACTTTACATTGTTTCCCAAATTTTCCTATGTTCACTTTCGTTTTTCACTTCCTTTTTTTAAAATTTAATCCTGATTTGGAAATACATCTCTAGACTTATTTTGTATTTACTTTTCACGATAAAATATTCGCGGTATGTCACTCTTTAGTTATTCGTTGTGTTGATTTTTTTTTTTAAGAAATTACCCAAGGAAACACATCCGACACAATAATTAATAATTTCTGTCTGGATTCCTGGGATGAGGAATTATCATTATTTACAGTTGGACTAATGTCTTCATCTTTGTTGCTATCATCAAATGATTTCGGCTGCTTTGCTCTACGGTTTTCTTAATATGTCTATGGGTGAACTTCAGCGAAATTACCCCAGGAAACACACTTTTCAGTCTGGATTCTTAGGTTGAGAAATTATCATTACTTAAATTATTTACAGTTTGACTAATCTCCTTATCTTTGTTGTTATCATCACATGATTTCAGCCTCTTTTCCTTGTGGTTTTCTTAAGACGTCTATGGGTAAACTTCAGCGAACATACCGCAGGACAAACACCCAACACAATAATTCGTAATTTCTGTCTGGATTCCTGGGATGAGGAATTATAATTACTTATATTATTTACAGTCCTCATCTTTGTTGTTATCAATATTCCGGTTGTTGTACACTTCGGTCTTCTGTATTTAATCGACAGACCTAGATCGTTTTCTGTCTCCTGCTCGTGTTTAGAGATATCACGTCTTTTTCATATTTTAGCACGGTTCAGTCATCGCTAGTCTTCTTTGTTCTTTTTTTTTTTTCACTAAGCCTGAGTCGGTACTGTCTGTCCAGGGATTGAATTCACAATCATTATACTACCAAATTCACGAAGCAACGCTTTAAGCTTATGAACTACTGTTCCGAGGGAAAGTCTTGAATCTAGAATCGACACTTGAAGTAGACCAAAACATCGTGCTGGCAACAACAAAAAGTGATTATTTAAGTCCGTTTGCAACTACAGTAAGTGATGATTAAGCAATGTTAATATGTTATATCTTACATATGGTCTATTGATCAAATAATAGGAGTAAGATTGGTGTGTGGCCGAGTGGTTAGAATGTTCGCTTTTCGAGACCCGGTTTCGAATCTCATCATGGTCGAATTCTCAGGAAAGTGATTTGTTAATACTAGCTTGCGGCACCTTTAGAATGTACAGAAAAACTATACCACCAAGACATGAGAGTGAAATTGGGTAGATGGAACAATTTGGGAGCGATGGTTTTATTAGCATGAAGTTACAAGTCATCGTGACTGAGTGTTTGAGCGTACTGGTCTTCTTCAGAGTACTGATCACGCCAGATAATGCGCTTTCTCTCAGAAGAATCAGGTTAGTAGCATTATAAACAACAGGTAGGTGAGCCGCCATAGTAGACACAGTCGGATACGAGCGGTCACACTGCCAGTAGATAGATTTGCCTATCGTCTGTTTCTCACGCTGTCAGTGTCTTTTGTAGAGGAGTAGAGATTTATCACTTGTTTCCTTTTTAGAATTGTTTTTTTTTTTTTATTCTAAAATCTACTCATTCTCTTTAACTCGGAGTAGCCCCTGACGTCTTAGGGACATTGTCACCTTGCTTGGTGACTTTAAGTATAGCAAATCCAAACCAGTAGAAACTCAGCACTGGATATTGCCGGCAATCCATGATTTTTTATGGATTTCTTAATTTTTTTCAATGATTTTATTTAATGATTGAAAAATGCTGTAATCCTTTGTCCCGATTTTTGAATTTTTGTAATTTTTACAAACATACGGTTTTCGAATGCGCACTGGTTATGCGCAAGACATTCTTTTGATAGGATTTTCTGCACAAAGACAAGAATGTTTAAACTTTGTTATCGTTTTATTTTTTCTAAACATTATTTTTTTACTTAACCATATTGCCTTTGGTTGCCGTTTTTTTTTTTTTTTCCTGATTTCTATTTTTTATTCATGTGTTTGTCGGGTGAGTCTTCCACGGAGAAATGTCAGTCTTTAAAAGAATACTCTAGTGTTTTCTTGTCTTATGCAATGTTCATCAGAAGTCGTGTATCACCAAGTTTTAAACAGTTATTCTTCAATATATTTTCCTCATGTAATCATTTCACTTTTTCTAACAATTTTGTAAAATCCGCTATTTTTTTTCCTCGAGAATGGAGGTATGGCCGAATTGAACCCTTCCGACATCAGGAAAATAAATTTAGTTTTTCTCTGACTGAACATTCTTCGTAACATTTCGTCCCTGATATTTTTTCCATTTCAATTAAATATAGCGATGGTTATTCGCTTTATGTGTGATGGTCTGTTAAAACAGTAACGTCTTTTGTTTGTTTTCATACATTCAAAGGATCTCCTACTATAGGTCTACACATCATATAAATAATAAGTACAGTATTTTTAGTGTCTGTCTATATTTCTGAGATGAGGTATAATGTACATTATTTACATTATTCGGACTATTGTCCTCATCTTTGAATTGGAAAATTCGTAAACTTAAGGAATCAGCACATATTCTAGGCCACAAAAATCTCCTGAGCCGACCAAGCATAGAAATGAATACAATATGGGAACCAATATTAAGGAGTGCCAGAGAAAATCAATGATAACAACAAAAAGTTGCAATATTAGCTCTGGTAAAAACATACAATGATAACAGTAAAAATTGCAATAGGAGCACTGGTAAAAATGGTTGCTGAAGACATTAGGTTTATAATACCCAGAAATTCATACACAGATGTCCTCAAGGCACAGTGGATAAAGGCGTTGGTTAGATCCAGTGACAGGACCCAAAGAGTGTGAGTTCAATACCCGGTTAAGGTAGTGGAGAACTTTCAGAGGCAAATTAACAGGAGATAACTGATAACTGACATCCACCCAACATGGCACGTGGAACTAGAACAGTCTACCCCGGTGAGCGAAATAAAGGGTTCAGTTGGACATTCCAACCACCTGAAAAAGGCCGGAGCGTACAACAGCCGAAACGTTGTGATAAATATGTCGACAAATAGTCCGAATAATGTAAATAAAGTATGTTTAGTAATTCATAATTTCTTTCATTCTTAATTATCATATTCCACCGTTGAATAATGGCAGGCTTAGAAATCTCGTTGTTGATTCCGCCTGAAGGTTTCTTCTCCTCTTGCACATCATCAGGATCCAAAAACCGCTTATCTCGGAGTACCATTTTCATAATCACAAATAGAGAAAAATGTCATATCACTACTCCACAGTAGAGAAAGTAAAGATAGCCAGACATGTACTCCGATTTGCGATTGCTTTTCTGAACATTAAGCTAACGTGACTTGTCTTCAAATATTTACCATGCAGTAACTTTACAAGAGCCAGATCAAAGCCCAAACTTGAGCATTGCTGCCATATCTGAGCCAGAGCGGCCGAATCATATCTTTCAACCTGAGCACAGTTCAAAAGCGGCTTTTTACATGTGACTTTGTATTTCCTCCGTAAAATGCTCTGGCGAACTACAATCATTAGTTCCACTATTTACAGTTAAGACACACCATGACATGTACACTGGCCTGATCATCCTCAACCCCTCGTGTTAGTTAGTAAGAAAGAACTTCTATTCGAACAACTTCCTCCCACGAGCTGCTACCTTATCGTACATACACCCGAGTTAAAGGTTCTATGAATACTACAATCTTAAATGCCTCAAGCCGATGGATAACCGTTATCTCTCCGAGGCATCCGCATAATCTGCACTTCTTAAACCCGCCACTTATATATATATAAATCAACCTCATTCAGAAACTCTCTACGTTGATTGGCTCTTCGGCCCTGCACTGGATGAACAATGGCGTAAAAAATAGAATCCTTATCCATCATGCGCACTAGGAATTGGAGATGTCTACATGAAACAAATATAGAATTTTACATATTTGGGAAAGATTTTAACAGAAGATGAAAAATTCTACACCGAAATCCGATAGAGCATTGGATTCGCAAAAGTTGCTATCCAAAATTTAAATAAAGTATTAAGAAACAGGAACAATTCTCGTTAGAATCATAGA